TTGAGTTCTCACACTAGATCCCATGTCAGGGAGTTGGAAGACTCTCTCTGACATCCCAAGGTCAAAGAATCAGACAATATTGGAAACAGGTAGTAGAACCACATTGCACCTTCACTCTCCACTGGCCCACCCTTATCTTTTCCTCCAAATGTCAATCCGCACCCCAAACTCCAGAGGTGGATTTGTCGTGAAGCGGATGAAGTTGAAGTTTCGGTTCCCCTCAGTTTCATAGAAGGAACACTAGCAACGCTTTCACTTGCCATATGTTTTGGTAAAACGTGTAGGAGTGGAATATTTTGGTCACAATAGGTCAGACTGCTGTCCTTACTCTAACTTCTTATATTGGGTGGCATCAGAGGGGCTGTAGGCATTTGGGGGGACCGGCCGAAGCAAGTAGAGTTGGCAATACATTCATTTGGGTTTAGTAGGATGCATTTATGTGATTCCCAGTCACTTGTATATATAATTATTTCTATCTTTTCTGTTGTAGGAGCAGCTTTCAGGAAGATTCCAGCAGCTTACTGTGGAAACTCACCTGGTGTCACTGACACAAAGTGGAAGATCTGCAGGTTGTGTATATATTTCTAAGATCCTAGTGGAGGAGGTGCAAGGTTTGAAATGAATGGAACCAGAAGCTAGTCTGTGGAAAATTCTTTCCAATCAATTCTAACAGAGGGTTTAATTTTCTTTTCTTTTTTTTTTTTTTGAGTCGGAGTCTCACTCTGTTGCCCAGACTGGTGTGCAGTGGCCTCTCCCGGCCACTGCAGCCTCGACCTGCTGGGCTCCGGCGATCCTTCCGCCTCAGCCTTCCAAGTAGCTGGAACTACAGGCGCGCGCTACCACGCCCGGCTGATTTTTGACTTATTGTAGAGATGAGGTCTCGCCAAGTTGCCCAGGTGGGTCTCGAACCCGCGGGCTCAGGCCATCCACTCACCTCAGCCTCCCAAGGCGCGGGATTACAGGCTGAGCCACCGAGCCCGGCTTGAGGGTTTAATTTTCAATGACATCTAGTCAAAATGGAGCTCTTTCCTATTGGGAATACGCATGCAGATGCAGTCAGTGTATACGACTGTGTTTTTGTACTAGACAATAAAATTCTTTCTCTTAGATTTGCATATGAAGTCAACAGAAATTATTCAGACATCCAGGAATAAACTGTACCCAAAATACAGGTAATTATAAAATTAGTAAATAGTTAAAAGAAAGAAATAAACTGCTAATAGAAATAATAAATAGGTTTTTATATTAATTAATGATTCAATAAAAAATGAGTGAGTTATAGGAACATATTTGAAAACTTCTTTAAATTTTTAATAATTTGACAGGAATATTTATTGACAAAGATATATAATTCATAATACACCACAATAAGGAGGAGAATGACAACACATTAATTATTAGTGTGTGCCATTGATTCAAAGCATATTTAAGGCATGCAACAAAAAACTGGAAATACTCTAAAAATCTTAGATTTCATATATAACAAAAATTATATGGAAATTTCCCCAAACTGACTATAGTCCTAAACATTTATGTGATAGTACCAATAATGAGTTAAGAAGCTCACAGAAACTTTTCTAAATTATCAATAAAAACCAAACTTGATCAGCCATGCTACAGGAGAGATTATCTTTCTATGCACTCTCTAGAGAGAAAATGCTACAAAATCTTTGTCATATACCCAAGAGTATAGAGCCAAATAACAATAATAATAATTAAGTAATAAAAACATTGTGGTTTTCTAAAAATTGTGGCATTTAAATGCTTGTGGCATTTAAATATTATTTATTTATTTATTTATTTATTTTTTGAGTTGGAGTCTCACTCAGACTGGAGTGCAGTGGAGTCTGATGATCCTCCTGCCTCAGCCTTCCAAGTAGCTGGAACTACAGGCACACGCTACCATGCCTGGCTAATTTTTTTGATTTACTGTAGAGATGAGGTCTCACCAAGTTGCCTGGGTGGGTCTCGAACCCGTGGGTTCAGGGAATTCACTCACCTCGGCCTCCCAAAGAGCGGGATTATAGGCTGAGCCACCGAGCCCAGCAAATATTTTTAAAAGGTGTAATTTGTAGCAATTTGTATTTTCACTTTAAACCAACATTCACTCAAACATAATTTTGTATAAATAATCTTGTCTTTTTATTTTAAAAAGCCTCTAAAATTATGTAAGATTCAGATCTCAAAAGCAGTGTTTATTAAGAGGAAAAGATTCTGGATTCGCCTCATTCCGAGTTTATTAAACCATTACTCAGATTTTAAAGCACACCACACACATGAAAACACCAACTGAAGAAAAATTTCTGAAATAGGTGAAATGAACTAAAATGAATTTTTCATATTCTCAATCTTTTCCCAGTAGCTCAGAGATCCTAATGCTCATTTGGATTTTGGTAGTAGAATGGTAAATGTGTATTATGGATTGAAGGGAGTTAAGAATAGGATTCTGAGCTGGGCTCGGTGGCTCAGCCTGTAATCCCGTGCCTTTGGGAGGCTGAGGTGAGTGGATTGCCTGAGCCCGCGGGTTCGAGACCCACCTGAGCAACTTGGCGAGACTTCATCTCTACGATAAATCAAAAATCAGCCGGGCGTGGTAGCGCGCACCTGTAGTTCCAGTTACTTGAAGACTGAGGCGGAAGGATCGCCGGAGCCCAGCAGGTCGAGGCTGCCGGCCACCACACTCCAGTCTGGGTGACAGAGTGAGACTCCAACTCAAAAAAAAAAAAAAAAAAAAGAATAGGGTTCTGGCTAGACCCGCTGGTTCACACCTGTAATCTCAGCACTTTGGAAGGCCAAGGAGAGAGAGAATTGCTTGAGCCCAGTAGTTCAAAACCAACATAGACAACATAGCAAGTCCTCATCTTTACAAAAAATAAAAAACTTAACCAGTGTAGAGGCGTATGCCTATAGTCCCACCTACTTGGGAGGCTGAGGCAGAAGGATTGCCTGAACTCAGGAGGTTGAGGCTGCAGTGAGCTGTGAGCATGCCACTGTACTTCAGTCTGGGCAATAAAGAATAGAATGGAATGGAATGGAATGGAATGGAATGGAATGGAATAGAATAGAATAGAATAGAATAGAATAGAATAGAATAGAATAGAATAGAATAGAAAAGAAAATAGAATGGAATAGGGTTCTGGAATTCAGAAGCTCTCCTTGGGTTCATAAAGTGAAAAAAAATGAGGATCACTACTATCTTAGTCTAATCAGGCTGCTAACAAAATGCCATAAACTGGGTCACTCACAAACAATAGAAATGCATTCCCAGTCGGGCTCGGTGGCTCATCCCATAATCCCGCACTTTGGGAAGCTGAGGTGAGTGGACTGCCTGAGCCGGCGGGTTTGCGACCCGCCTGGGCAACTTGGCGAGACCTCATCTCTACAATAAATCAAAAAATTAGCCGGGCGTGGTAGCGCGTGCCTGTAATTCTGGCTACTTGGAAGGCTGAGGCGGAAGGATCGCTGGAGCCCGGCTGGTCAAGGCTGCGGTGGCTGGGAGTGGCCACTGCACTCCAGTCTGGGTGACAGAGTGAGATGAGACTCCAACTCAAAAAAAAAAAAAAAAAGAAGAAGAAAAAAAGTAATGCATTCCTGGACTGTTCTGGAGGCTGCGAAGTCCAAGATCAAGGTGCCAGCAGATTCGGTGTCTGGTAAGGGCAAATTTTGTCGTTCATAGATGGTGGCTTCTCACTGTGTCTTCACATGAATAGGTGAGGAAGCTTTTTTGGGCAGTTTTTATAAGGGCACTCTTTCTGTTCATGAGGGCTCTGGCCTCATGACCTAATCACTTTCCAAGGGTACACCCCTCCATAACATCATCTTGGTGGAAGGGGTGAGAATTTCAACAAATGAATTTTACGGGGACAAAAATATTCAGAGCATAGCAATGAACTAGCAATAGCATCTGGGGTTGGGGGGAGGGCGGGGAAACAACAAGAAAAACACATTTCCTTTTGACTTGGAGTGTCTTGGGATTCAGTCCTACCACTTACTTTTGTGACCGTAAGCCATGTGAGCCCCGATTTCTACACTTGTAAAAATAGGCCGAATATTAAATGTCTTTTAGAGTGTTGTGCAGTTGTGTTTCTGCAACTGAAAGAAGCTATAAGAATTAAATGTTTTCAAGAGTAAATGTGCTCAGTAATAGGTGTTCTGTTAATGTTAGCTTCATGCTGGAATATACAGAGCAGGCTGTCAATTTCTGGAAAAAATGCAAATTTGGGGGTCACACATACAAATGCATTTTTCTAACAATGCCAGTGATTTGTGCAGACTATATGGAGTATATTTCACTTTTTGGCCTTACCCTAAAGCTGATATCTAATGGGGTGATGACGTGTAGGGGTAATTTATGAAAGAAGAAAAAGAATGTCTGGTAATACAGCAAGAATTCTTTAATGTCCCCAGTCATTAAATACATCAGACTTTTGGCAAAGATTAAGACGAATAAGAATGCCCACCTGCTGTTGGTAAGGAGAGACGGGAAGAAGTACACTCATATAGCATTGGATAGTTAGGGTTCAAATTGGTACAGCTGGTTTGGAGACCAATTTAAAAGTAGATACCAAGCCGGGCTCAGTGGCTTAGCCTGTAATCCCGCGCCTTTGGGAGGCTGAGGTGAGTGGATTGCCTGAGCCCGCGGGTTCAAGACCCGCCTGGGCAGGCGAGACCTCATCTCTACAATAAATCAAAAAACTAGCCGGGCGTGGTAGTGCGTGCCTGTAATTCCGGCTACTCGGAAGGCGGAGGCAGAAAGATCACCAGAGCCCAGCAGGTCAAGGCTGCGGTGGCCGGGAGTGGCCACTGCACTCCAGTCTGGGCAACAGAGTGAGACTCCGACTCAAAAAAAAAAAAAAAAGTAGATACCACACCCCACAAAAAAAAAATAAAACCCTTTAAAAATGTTTATCCTGCATTTAAAGCTAAAAGTATGCCTAATCTATGACTCAGTAATTCCACTCCTAGTTTACATTTTTTAAAGATGCCCTGCAAAAGACACGTACAAGAATAATCACAGCAATTTTATTCATAGTAGCTTACGTTTCCATCAAAATAAAATGAATCAATAAAATGTAGCATATTTTAAAATAGGATACTATGCAGCAATTAAAAGAATAACTATGGTTATACATCACCGCATGGATGGAACTCACACTTTGCTGAAAGAAAGAAGCCACAAACAAAAGAACACACACTCAATGATTTCATGTGTATGACGTTTAAGAACCTGGGTTAGATATTGACTGGGAAGGAGCATGAAGAGCATTCTGGGGTACTGCAAATGTTTAATACATTCATCCGGTTGGTAGTTATACAGTTATGTATGTCGAATTCAACTAGCTGTACACAAGATTTATTCACTTGATTGTAAATCAGTATACCTCAACTTAAAAGTTTCAAGGAAACATACCCTTTGATTTAGCAATGATGTTTTTATCCTAAAGAAAAAAATCAGAGGAGTACAGAAAAGGTTTACACACAAGAATAATCACCACAGCATCATTTATAGCAGGAAATATCTGGAAATAAAATACAATAACAAGGAAGTAGTTAAATAAATTATGATACATTCGAACAGTAGGACACTGTATAGCTAAGATGAAAGTGAAGAATGGTCAAAAACATAGAAAGTTGTTCATAATATAATATTCCAAAAAGGTCAGTTAATGAAATGTTTTTTAAGATGTAATACATTTGCTTTAAATACATATGTGTTTTATTATATATATTTATCATATATTATACATATATTTCATTATCTATGTAATGCTGTGCAGCAGGCAATCCACACGCTTATCGTGCTTATCTCTAAGAAGATTGTAGTTAGTTCTTCCTTTCTTTCTCTTGTTTTAAACAATTTTCTCCATTGTACAGGTCCTATTTTGCAGTTTGCAGAAGTCTGATATAAAATATAAAAGGCGGGGGGGAAAAAAAAAAAGGAAGAAAAAGAGTGATCAAGACAACTCCTTACACAAGTAAGTCATTCCATGCATACAAATTGCATTCTATCTGGGTTGATGCTAAGATAGTTAACGTCTCTAAGAAGTAGGTTCTGTCTGTAAATGGGAATATGAAGTGCACCCACTTTATGGCATTGTTAAGGGATTAAATTAAATTTTCTATAAGCAGTGTCTTAGCACAGTGTCTGACACGTCAGAAACATTAGCCATTACGTTACGCTGGCTAAGACTCCTACATTGCTAGCACTGGCTTACCTGCTCTTGTCTTCTTTTCGCCTTGGAGTATCGCCCCACCTGGTTATCACTTCTTCCTTTAAGGAGTAACTAGAACACTGCTGGGGATGGATTGACAATCACATCAGGTATGGAGGCATCCAGTTCTCTGAAAGGTCTCATCTGATCAGGGACATTCATTCTGAGAACCAGGTCTCAGAATTCCTTTTCAGATGCATCAAATTCCAACTGATTCTGCAAGCCACAAGGACAACATTGTGAATGTCCCTCAAAGAAGCCTTGGGCCTGGGCTCTGTAACATTCTGTATTACCATCTAAGATTTGTACCCACATGTGGGAAGTCAGGAGACAGTTGATTTGCTTTCTTTATTGAGTTGTCTTCCTATAACTCACTACCGAGGTCTATTGCATAGTTGGGTTTTAGTTTTGTTTTTTCCCACTGCTTTCCTTGTTTTCTGTTTCCATTTTCACTCTCTTCTCAGTTTTTGTTTTCAGAGCAGCTTCTGTGCTCTCTTTCCCCTGCGCCAACCCACCCCCACCTCCTCCTCTTTCTCCCTCCTTCCCTTCCTTTCTCTCTCTTCCTCTCCGTCTCTCTTGAGACAGGTCTAGTGGCCTGGTTGCCATCTGCTGCCTTTTTTTTTATGAGGTTGAGATCAGATGGCATCTAATCGATCGTCATGGTCTCCATGGTTACCAGGGTGACAGAGTACTTGGGAGAGACACATTCTCCAGCCTGGGGCTGTCAGACCATTCCTGAGAGGGGAAAAGGAAATAAAACCTCTTCCATCATATTTACACATTTACATCTTTCTCAAATGCAGCAAAACACAGACCCTGTGTATGTTTTACACAGCTACCTAGTGGCTTGGGGCCAGAGAATGCAGAGTGGCTTTTTTCTATTTAAAAAAACACACAAGGACAGAAGCAAAGCATTGGGGTTTTTTTGAACCTCGAAACCATACCACTCCCCACTACATACAGACCATCACCTTTTTCTCCCCTTTTTAATGTTTGGGAATTAATTTAGTCATTCTAATGAGTTGCTATTTTTCCAATAAATCATAGCATAGTTCTAAAACTGACAGTTGACAACTATTTGCTTAAGAGGAGGCAAATTAAATTACCTCATTAAATTATCAAACTTTAACCTTCACTAGGATCAGTGTTAATGTTCATGTTAGTTGTTCTCTGGCCAACAATTATTTGTAATACAAGAAGCCATGTTTCCTACTAAGTGCAGCCACATATGATCAAATGTACACAAAATAATCGTTATTCTTAATGCAAAAGATGCCATGGCATGCCTGTGGTCCGTAATGCTTTAATGCCTAGGGGCTGATCATTCTGGCAGAGATACACCCAGCATTATTATAATAGAATATGATGGCCTTGACAGCCTAGATCTGGTTGAAAGAGACATGAGAAAGATCCTGGTACTAAGGCTATATAACTTAATGGAAAGAAGGCTAGAGTTTTGGAGAAACTCAGAGACAAGAAAACCACCAATCATCATACCATTAAATAATGTCAAAACCGCAAAGGAAAATACTACCCGACTCTGACCTATTCACACACCTTTAATATTAGGCACAGATGACTTGGGCAATAGACCGCTTTCCGTCCTTCCTGGTAATATGTTCTGCTTATAATGCTTATGAGAAATTCTGCTCTTTTTTGTATTTGTCAGAGAAAACCAAACTTAAAATTAAAGCCCAGGTGCAAAGTCTATAAGTTTTTTTTTCCATCGAAAGAAAAAACAACCCAAGCCATGGGCAATGCTTTCTTCCTTCCTTTGTCTCTGACTTCCCTTCGGACTGTCTGCATTGTCTTCTGTACAGATTCTTAGTAAGATTCAGATATATTCATCTGCAGTGCTTTTGGTTGTTAAGCAAATAGCACATTGATATTTGAGATAGAAATGATGCCATCAGTGGGAGGAGAGACTTTAATATAAAGGGAAAATAATTTATCATGAACACGAACCCTCTTATTCATTTTGTACCTCTGCATCTTTGCTAATGCCTGCCTCTCCTTCCCTGTCTGCAATTCCTGCTACTTTTTACCTCTTTATGGGTGATCGTGGTCATTGCATGGCCAGGGGAACTGCTTTTAATTCCCACCACCCCAGAATAGCTTTCCTCAAGCTTCCCACGACACAGAATTCTCAACTCCTAATGTTCTTTTGGTCTCCACTCATTTGGGCCTTAAAATGTGCCACCTTGTACCTTAGCTTACATATTTGTTACGTTCAGCTCTCGCTGTTCTCTGAAGTGTCAGCTCCAGAGGAAACAGACTGTGTCCCCTGCTTCTGCGCTCCTCCTGTACCTTGTACCTCGTTAGCCCTCACTAAATGTGTGATAAAGATAGTAGCAGCCTGTTGTGTCTACAGGGCGATCTCTGGTTTTCCTTTTTAAGACCAGGAACCAAATTGGGATTTTGCTTTGTGTCAGCCAAGAGGCTTTCTTTTACGTCCTTGCCTTCAATACTCCTGTGCACAAGCACGCTTCTCTGAGAAGGTGGGTTCTACCTTGGAATGAAATGAGTCGTTTCCTCCCATCAGGACAACTGCCACAGCATGGTGTCAACTCACTCTTGCCTTTTGTAAATTGAGTTTGTCAGTGCTCAGCCACACAGCTGAGTGAAATGTTGTGTGATGCGGGCTGTCTCCTGGGAGAGAGAAACTGGCATAAACCACATCCTAATGGGATCCAGAAACAAAGAAGCGTGAATGAAGTGTTAATTGCATTCATAAAGACATTAACAAAGGAATGAAAATGGCAGAAGCTTCCATCGCCCACTCAAGATTTACAGAAAAACATGTTATCCAAAGAATGTTTTAACAATAATCATTAAAGTTTATTGCTTGCCCACTGCAGAGAAACTCTCAATAAATATTAACTTTTCAAAAGACAAACATTTTGTGTCCATTATCTTGAGAATATTAACTAACGAACAGTTTAACCCACCCTACCTCCCATTCTTTTCTTGCTTTTGTAGTTATGATTTAAGTTTCCAAAGAATCAAGAAGCATTTTCCATGCTGCTTCACTAACCTAACAGTTTGAACCTAATCAATCCTACAACTCTTATTAGAGCAAAATACTCACTATCGGGGAGATCTTTTTTGCTTTTTGAAATAAAATCACACAAGACAAGGGTGCATTTTACAGTCCCTCTTGAATATCCCTGAGCTAATCGGCAATGTGGCAACCTGGGGCTCCCTCTCCAGCCCTTTGGCAGGGCCCCCAGCTGCTGACAGCAGGGCTAAGCTGGCAAAAGGTCAGGAGTCTGCATCTGACTGAAGATGGATCACATAAATGAATACTGCACTTGCTTAATGAAGTCAAGGCCACGGATTGGGGGCCTTTTATGGTTCTTCTTGTTTCACTCAATTTCACCTTCACAGACCACGCCACTAATTCCGGCCAATCATTGTGCATGTATGTGCAACTGGTGATTAAGGAACTAGATGAAAGTAAATGAATTTCATCTAGAAGACTGTCAGTGACCGGAAATCTCTGTGTTTGTAACAGGCTTGAAACTAAAAAAATGTGTTCACGTAGAGCGTTTGGTGTAATCCTTTCAGAAACTCTGTGAGATACATAGAGCAGACATTCCTACCCTCATTCTGCACATTAAATAGCTAAAACTCAAAGACATTAAGTAATGTCTCTAAATTAGAATACAGGTATTTTTGATCATCTGACTGCTCTTTCTACCACGGTAGTCTAACTCTCCCGGGATCTCATTTGATTCTCACAAGAATCCTATGAAGTAAGACAAGCTGTATAAACAAGTGGGTCGATTTTTCCAGGAGTGCCATTAATGCAACCAGAGGAGCAGGTGCTCTCAAGCCTAGCCCTAGAATTTGGATGAAGGCCCTGGTTACCTAAAAAGCCTATCTTGTAGTCTTATCTAAACCAATCATTTTGTGGATGTGGCATCAACCCAATGATGCAGATTTAAAAGTGACAAAATTGTAGTCGATTGTATATGTCTGTGCTGATCACCATAGACCGGTGAGTGAAGGGGACTCAGAAGTGCACATCCAGCAACTCAGGAAAGCTCACTGCCTATTCGTTAGAATCAGACAGATTGCCGGGCACGGTGGCTCATGCCTGTAATCCCAGTACTTTGGGAGGCCGAGGGGAGAGGATTGCCTGATCCAGGGGTTCGAGACCAGCCTGGGCAATTAAGTTAGACCTCGTCTCTTCAATAAATCAAGAAATTAGCTGTGCATGGTGGCATGCGCCTGTGGTTCTAGCTTTTTGGAGGGTTAAGGGGAAGGATTGCCTGAGCCCAGCAGGTCGAGGCTGCAGTGGCCATGAGCATGCCACAGCACTTCAGCCTGAGCAACAGAGTGAGACTTAATAAATAAAATAATCAGATTAAGTCTCTGGTTGCTTCTAATTATGTTGCAGACACTGGAAACATTTCCTCCCAGACATGAGCTGTACACTAAATTTGAAGACATCACAAAACCTAAAATAAAAATTTCTGAGTTATGTGCTATTTTGTATTAGCTGTGCTTAGTCTTATATATTACCATACACTCCAGAGATGATTGCCTTTATTTCTTATTAGAACACATAATTTATAGTACTTGATTCCAGAATTTTCAAATAATGACAAATTGAACTCCAGTGTAGACATGACACTAAGTGGTTCAGAAGTCTGATCCAAATAGCATTTGGAATTAATGACCTAGAAGCTATCAATATTATTATTTGTATTTTCTTTATTTATCTTTTTATTTTATTTTTGTCCCAATTAGAAGGTCCTATTATGTCTTTATGTTGCTTCTAAGATGGAAGACTAGTAAATTTTAATCATGCCTGTCTATGGCTAGCTGTGGGGTGCAAAGATGTACAATAAATGGAAAAAAATCAAAGTGAGCAGCAGTTGGTCAGTTACACAATCAATCTAGACAACTGCGGTAAAAGCCTTACCTTTTCATCAACAGCAAAGGGTTGACTATTCTGTCGCTCTATTTATGTCAAAATTCATAGAATTAGTTTATGTCAAAATTCATAGAATTAGTTTATGCTCCTAAGTCAAAACTGTGTCATTATCATAAGGTGTTCATTTATTCATTTTCATTTATGGGGTCCAAAACAATGAAGTGACTTTCCAGGGCTGTATTGTACATTATGGTAGTTACTAAACCTATGTGGCTACTTAAATTAAAACGTCAGTTCTACATTTTAAGTCTTCAGTAGCCATATGTGGTTAGAGGTCACTGAACTGGACAAAACAGATTTATAGCACATTTTTGTCACTGCAGAATGTTCTATTGGATAGCACTGTTCTAGATCAAAAGACTGGAACTCATACATGCCACAGAAATATATTCTCTATCCCACCACACAGCTATTTGTAATACACCACTTATAGTTTCAGTGACAGTGACTTGTGGAACTAGCCTGCTGGGGCCAGGCATCAGGGAGGGGGTGGCCTGCAGACGTCTTTCTCAGTGTGTCATGGGAGAAGCTGAGCCAAATCTCTAGAGAAAGGGCAGGTGCAGATGAGCCATTTCCATTTTCCACTCCTGCAACTCCCAGAACCTCGAGTCCAGACCCGCCGCCAAGACGTGCTTGTACAGAAGCCCAAAACGAAGCGCGTTTGGATTAATTTTCTGGCCTTTATTTCTTTGCAAAATCTATCTTGTGCCTTTGATGAAGGAGTTTCTTTTTTGCCATGAATTTCAATGAATCTGAACCTAGTGGTGTTTTCTACCAGCCAGGACATTTAATATAGAATGTAAAGAAACAAGGCTTCAGACAAGAAAGAATTATAGCAGAGACTGAAAAGTATAGTCCAGAGCTCCCAGACTGAATATTTTAAGTGAATGCCATTGGCTCATCGTCATTGACAGTCAACAAGTAAACATATCCACAGATTAAACAAAGGTCTCTCCCTAAGATGGGAAAGATGGGTACATTCTCCAGTTCTGGTCGCATTGACCACTTTAAACTTGTAGAAACTGAAAAGTAATAAATCATCAGTCATATCCTGTTCTCTAAAGTGTCTCACTAGGACTCTTTTTGCTATATTAAGAAAGAGATTGAGGCAGGATGTTTTCACAAGATTGCTCAAAAGCATCTATCTCTAGCAAGTACATGAGATATATGACTCTCATTGCTTTAGTCACATAATTCTTCTAAGTGGACTTATTGGGCTCATGTTTTATTTTCTTGATAGACTTCAAGTCTCTCAAAACTTCTAATTATACATATGTACATCCCCCAAGTCCTTGATATGGTAGGAGGTACTCAGCACCTTGGTTCAACTTTATCAGTAAATATTTATTGAACAAATTAATGAATACATAAAGAGATCCCTGGTAAGAAATTTGTCTAGCCTGAATTATGGTAACTTTCAGCTGATAGGTATGGAAAAGGAGGAGGAAAGAAGAGGTGCAAAGTTTGAGAAGATACATGGATTGTGAGCTGATTGAAAAGAGTATCATCTCCAAAGTTTCCTTTGTATCTCCATAAAAACGAGAAAGAAACTATTTTTAAGGGCACCTGTGTATTTCAATTATTGGAGCAGAGAAGATGTGCAACCTATTGTCTTCTCAGCAAGACTTTCTTGCTGACGTTCTTCCTGGAGGTAGGGAACTCCATGGTATTATATGAATTTATATCGTACAGCTTTGTACTAATAGCTGAATGGCATGATAATGAAATCGACAGTGAAAATGATAAACACAATTGAACTCAAGTCTATACACTTTTTTGCAAACTTGAATGAAAATAAATCCTCAAACTAAAATGACCACAACAAAACCTTGCAATCCACTCATACTTCAAATCATCCTTGATAAGTTAGAATCCAACCCAGTCTTCAACATTTCCAAGAAAAGAGAACCATAGGGATATGGTAAAGGCCACAAAATGGAAGTAAAATATATTTGTAAACTGTTTTGTGCTTTAGCAATGCCAGTCAATAATTTACGCAAGTTTTTTGATGTAACTTTCTAGGTCGTATCTCTTTAAATCATGACGACTCATATCTGTCCTTGTTCCAACTGTTTTCTGGTATCTCTCTTGCTGAAATGGTTTCAATTAGAGGCTGGAATGGGTTGCTACAGAACTCTTGCACGGTGCTTGCCAACATGGGAATTGGTTTTAAACACTGCTGTTTTTCATCCAAAAAAAAATTCCCCCTTCCCGCCCTTGAGTTAGAAGAGATTATTCTCAGACAGGCATTTAGCTGATTTTTAATGTCAAAGAAACTTAATTTGCAAACTCGTTAGAAACTCTTTAGTAAAAGCTGCCTAGTAAAACAGATGATTAATATTGGTAAGCTCCTCATTTGCATATTAATTAGTCTCCATACCCAACTAATTAAAACTACACTGCTTGTTTGAGGACTTTCTTCTAGATGGTTGGCCTTGTTTCTATGTATAAGTATGTACTTTAACTAAAATAAGCGTTAGTGATAATGATCTGTGCTTTTCTTAATGTACTAATTTTTCATCTTGTAACACTTAGGCTTAGGACTCCTCGAGGTCCTAGAACCATCTCTAAGTGACCATTTCGTAGGCCCAAATCACTTTTGTCCCAGTACAGTCATGTGTTGCTTACCAACAGGATACCTTCTGAGAAATGTGTCATAAAGCGATGTTGACATTGTGAAAACATCATACAGTGTACTTACACAAACCTGGATGGTCTAGTCTATTGCACAACTGAACATATGGTATAGCCTATTGCTTCTAGGCTACAAACCTGTACAACATGTTACTGCGCTGAATACTGTAGGCAACTGAAACACAAATGGCAAGTATTTGTGTATCTAAACATATCTACACAGAGAAAAGGTACAGTCAAAATACAGTATTATCATTTCATGGGACCACCATCATGTCTGTGCTCTGTTGGTGACCATGTTGTGAGGCATATGTCTATACCTGTGGGAAGAAAATAGTTGGATGACTCAGTGACTGGTAGTAAGTAAAGTAGGAAGGGTAGTAAGTTATATCTTAATATTTGTTTTCTTTAAGTCTTACTCCATAAGTGAATGTATCACTCCAGTATAATTTTTTAATATTTAAATTTAGCTACTTTTAAATTATTTAATAATTACACTACTATTTAACTTTCAGTAAAAAAAATTACTGTGTGGGAAAGTAGACAAATTTGTTTTTAAAAAGTATGCTGGCCGGGCTCGGTGGCTCAGTCTGTAATCCCAGTACTTTGGGAGGACCATGGTAAGTGGATTGCCTGAGCCTGTGGGTTTGAGACCCGCCTGGGTAACTTGGCCAGATCTCATCTCTACAATAAATAAATAAATAAATAAATCAGCCAGGTGTGGTAGCGCAATCCTGTAGTTCCTCAACTTGGAAAGCTGAGGCGGAAGGATTGCCTGAACCCAGCAGGTCGATGACACACTCACGGCACTCCAGCCTGGGTGACAGAGTGAGGCTCCAACTCAAAAAAAAAAAAAACAAAAACATATGTCTGCAGCATGCCTAACTGTTTGGACTACAGGACCCTAGCTCTTACTGGTGAGAATGAATTTCCACTACAGCCAAAACAAAACCAACTAAACAAACAAACAAAAAAATGAAAATACCTAAGAAAATAAATAAGCTTTGCGTATAGAGTCTCCAGAAGAGGTGCAGGAGAAATTATATCAGTCCTAATAATTAAGAGACATTGATCAAATTGCTGAATTTCGCTTTCTTCTACAACTGAAAATAAATACGCGCTGAAGGTCTGTATTCGGTATTTTCTGATGACACCCACTCCCTAAATTGAATTAGGTGCCACTGTGGGGTTCTTCCATAGCACCTAGCGTTTCCCCTCTTACAGCTCCTATCTCGTAGTGTAACAACTATGTCTTTCTGTTCATACCCCTTATTGGATGCTTTCTCCATAGCAGGATCTCTGTCTTGTCCATTATTATATCACCTAGTGCTTATCACGGTGCCCGAGATAGAGTAGATGCTAATTAAATAATTCCCAACTAAATCAATGAATATGCTAATCTATGGTTAAACAATAAATAAGGGATGCACGTTAATGAAGGCGCTAGATGACAATTTCTAAGGTTATCCATTACTATAAAACAAAAAACCCCAAAACTTAAAGACTAAAAACAACGTACTATTTCTCATGATTCTGTGAGTTGGTCGGGACAGCTGTTGTGCTTTTTTACCTAAGGTCACTCAACAGTGCTGCATTCAGTTGGAAAATCTTCGGGACTGGGCTCAGTTGAGACAATAGGGCGTCTGGACCTTTCTCTAGCTATGTCTTTCATTCTCACCTGGGCTCTTTGGACTTCCTAACATGGAGGTTAGGAAGTTTCAATGTCCAAACATTTACTGAACTTCTATCAAGGTTGCTAACATCTCATTGGCCAAGTCAGATCATTTAGCCAAGCCCAGAATCTCTATGGGAGGAGATTACACAAGGGTATGACTTTGAATGTAATCATCAACCAAAACATGTCTCTTCCTTAAGGGAGTTCTTAATCAAGGTAGGTGAATGAATATAGGCAATCTGATGAAATAAACGTTATGCCAAAGATACCAACAAATTGTTTACGATATAAGCATAGACATCATTAGAGCCAGGAGATGGTAATTTGAATATTTCCCCTTTTATTAACTGCTGTGTGACCGTGGGCAAATTACCCCACCTCTCAACATTTTGGCTTTGTAATTCTAAAAATGGGTATTGGCTACTTGCCATTTGTTGCAACTTCCTCCTAATATGACTTTCTGTTCTGCAGAGGCTTAAAAAAGTTAAAAACGTATGTTTACCAGGCTCCCTTGCAGCTTAAGCTCTTGGTGTGACTTTACTTCAGCCAATTAGATGAGCACTACGAGAACTAACTGACTTTGAAACTGAATCAAGTGGGCAAACACACAGTAGTTAGGGGTGCAGTGAAAGTCATCAACTTTTGCTCGACGAATCTACCAGCTGTAGCACAACTCTGGGGCCAACAGTCCTGGTGGTGGAGTCACAACCCAGATTCATGGCTTGATGTCACGATCTTAGAGTTTGCAGTAGGCACGGCACCTCCTGGACCCTTGGCAATCCAACTGTATTAGAGGGAGCAGCTCCCTGGACAAGCTGGTTTTAAGGTGGCATTCTAGGAGCCATTTCTGAGGGTTGTGTAAAGCCTAGTCATTTAGACCTTTCAATACTTTGGTAGGCACCAAATTCCCTTTCTGCTTAAGATAGTGAGAATAGTTTCTGTGTGCTGGACTGAACCATGATGGATAGATTCCCTTTAAGATTATTGTGGAATTTACTTGGGGCACTTTATGTAAAAGTGACTCACAATTAGAAAGTGCTTAATAAATATTAATTTCTTTCTCATATAATTTGTATATATAAGATAACAGATGAAACATCCGGATGTTTTGAAAGATTCTGATAACTGACATTCTTTTGTTCTTAGTTTTCAGTTGGCATGTAAACACAATCTTTAAACAAAAACCTAGAGTTATACTAATACTCAAACATAGAAATAGATATAGAGATGCAAATACATTCCATTCTTATTCATCTTTTAACAGACTGTTGACTATGTGTTTAAGTTTAAGTGCTTGATTCTAGTCTTGGACAAAGCATTTTACCTTCTCACTTTCTTCACAGAGGGCCTCAATTTCATTTATAAAATGAAAGAGTTAGATTACATAATTTCTAAGGTTTCTTCTTTCCTTGCTTAAAACTGTGTGCTCCTTAAACCAGTAAGTAATTATCTCCCTATCCTGGTCTATACATATGCAATCTAAGTTTATCTTAGGATTCTAGGCTTCTCTACTGGTCTAGAATTGTGTGAGAAGAGTTGCCCATGTGTCTTTATGTACTTGTTATTTTTCAGATAAGCTAAGATAACCACTCCCTCTCAGAAGGCATGTTTCAGCATTTTTTAAAATCAGTAATATTTTCTTATTGGAATCTCTCCTCTTTTTTTAACTGCTGTATGACTTTAGGTAAGTTATTTAACCTCTCAACATTCTGGCTTTGTAACTCTAAAAATGGACAGTGGCCTGTTTGACATTTGGAACAACCTCCTCCTAAAATGACTTTTTCATTCTTCCGAGGTTTAAAAAGCTAAAACCTGTATTTCTCAGACTCCCTTGCAGCTAAGTCTCTTGATGTGGTTCTAACACTTCTAGACGCAATTGCTTCCTCCCTTTTACAACTAAGAAAGCATTGTCATCACCATTTATAACATTATTGAGCAATTTCTATTTTTTCAACGTACATGACTTATTGCCCATTTAATTTCCACAACACCCTATGTCCTTTTTAATATGATGAAACCACGGCTGAAAGAAGTTAATTAAGCAAGTTACCTAAGGTCCCAGAATTACTAACTGGAAGAGTTAGATATCGATCAGGTTTATTTGAACTGAAAGCCTCTTTCCTAACCACTACATTAAGTAACCTCTTAATACTACTAAGATGAGTAGTAGTACTGAAAATACTATTATTTCAGCCAGCCTTTATTGAACACTTACTATATGCCAAGCCTCGACCTTCTGGACTCCGGCGATCCTTCCACCTCAGCCTTCCAAGTAGCCAGAATTACAGGCATGTGCTACCACGCCTGGCTGATTTTTTGATTTATTGTAGAGATGAGGTCTCGCTGCCCAGGTGGGTCTCGAACCCGCGGGCTCAGGCAATCCACTCCCCTCAGCCTCCCAAAGGCGCAGGATGACAGGCTGAGCCACCAAGCCCGGCTTAGCACTCCCATTTTATTAATGAAGAGATGGATGTTTATGAATTTTAAGCGTCTTGACCTAAGTTATTCAGCTTCTCATTGGTGGAGCTGTGAACCTAGGTAGTATGAAATCAGAGTGTTCTCACATACCATACCTTTTTGCCTCCTGTCTCCTGATCGCGATGATATTGAGGGAAAAACCTTGCTTCTAATTTAATTTATGGAAAAAGTAAATTTTTTACATACTTAAAAGCCATATAAGTAACAAAGGATTTATGGCACTCCCCCACCTGTTTCTTTCCACAAGTGTGCCCTGACACCATGATGCATACCACCAAAACAGAAAATAGTAAGCACAGCCAGAAGGAATGAAGTGGCATGCATGTATGAGAAAAGCTATGAGACAGACACATTCTTTTTTTTCCTTCACATTTGTGTAAGGGCTGTAACAACCTTCTTTGTTTTCCTTCCATGGCTATCGAGTTTCTGATACTGTTTCTATTAGGATGACATTGATTACCTTATACTTCTGTTTTAAACAAAATTTTTAATGTTATGTAGACATGAGTTCAAAATTTATGGGTTTTTTTTTCAGGGTGGAGAAGCATGGCCATTTAAGAATCTGAATCAATCTTATAAGTGAATTCGATGCCTGCTAGATATAGTAAGAAAAAATTGTAAGTCTAAGCAATTAATTATTAAACACCTAACAGCCAAATATAGTACCTGTGGGCAGAGAGGCCGTCTTCTTTGAGGAGGTGAAAACTAATTGCAAAAGCAGAGTTGCTGAGAAGTCACACTGGGAAGCATGGGGTGCACATAGCAGTTGTCGCTTTCCGTTTGCTGAGCCACATTAAAAGGAAGGTGGAGATCTAAGAAAAAAAATATTTAAAACCCCTTGGGAAATGTATTTAATAGCCAAGCATAAAAAGAGATAGGTGATAATGAATGCCAGTCAGAAAGGCGGTAGGGACATGTTTAATCTGGATTTCAGGAGCTCTGGGAGTCATGAGGCTTTCAATCCCTGAAAGAGCACAGGTCTGGCATACAGTGGGTGTTCAAAACTAATTTAAATAACCAGCTAATGGGCGAATGAATGGATAGCTATTTCCCCCAAGTATGCTTGAAAATAGTACCTATTATAGGCAGAATATGCTTGAAAATAGTACCTATTATAGACAGAATGTTTGTCTCTCTCCAAAATTCAGATGTTGAAACCTAAGCCCCAGTGTGATGGTATCTGGAGGTGGGGCCTTCGGGAGGAATGCAGGTTTTATAGTACAGGTGATACACAAACCCATACTTTGTAGCTTATTCACTCTTTTTTTCTTTCTTTCTTCTTGGAACACATACTGATAAAGAAGTAATCAGAGGCTGGGTGGCCATGGGCTGGGGTGTGCTGGATGCCACAGCAGCTTCCACTGGAGGTCAGAACCTTTGTGGATTGTTTCTTGAGGTCAAGTTTCTGGCACAGGGCTTCACTGGGAACTTCAGAAGTGGATTTCGCTTTCTCACAGTGAATACAAACCACCCCTGAGCATTGGATAGACAAGTCACTGCTTATGAGAGCTCCTACTCTTTGTGTAAAGCAGCCTCTTCCTTGGGTACATATAGCCAAGAGCAGACAGTGGCCAAGCAGGGTGGTTCATGCCTGTAATCCCAGCACTTTGGGAGAATCACTTGAGGTCAGGAATTTGAGACCAGCCCTCAGCAATATAGTAAGACCCTATCTCTATTAAAAAAAAAAAAAAAAAGCCAGGCTTGGTGGCTCAGCCTGTAATCCGGCGCCTTTGGGAGGCTGAGGTAAGTGGATTGCCTGAGCCTGCAGGTTCGAGACCCGCCTAGGCAGTGAGACCTCATCTCTACAATAAATCAAAAAATCAGCCGGGTGTGGTAGTGCATGCCTGTAATTCTGGCTACTCGGAAAGGCTGAGACGGAAGGATCGCCGGAGCCCAGCAGTCGAGGCTGCGGTGGGCCGGAAGTGGCCACTGCACTCCAGTCTGGGCGACCGAGTGAGACTCCAACTCAAAAAAAAAAAAAAAAAAGACCTACTAACTTTTAAAAAATTTGTCATAAAGGCGAGTGTCTCCCTGGGAGCGTAATATGATCAAAGAGTAGCAGAGGTCGGGCATGGTGGCTCAGCCTGTAATCCCAGCATTTTGGGAGGTCAAGGTGAGAGAACTGTCTGAGACTGGGGATTCGAGACCAGCCTGGGCAACTTGGTGAGACCTCATCTCAACAATAAATCACAAAAATTAGCCAGATGTGGTGGTGTGCACCTGTTGTTCCAGCTACTTGGAAGGCTGAGGCGGAAGGATCACCTGAGCCTAGCAGGTCGAGGTTCCAGCGTCCATGAGCATGCCACTGCACTCCAGCCTGGGCGACAGAGTGAGAATCCAACTAAAAAAAAAGAAAAGAGTAGCAGAATTCTGGAGACTAGGGTTACAACTAATCTCTACTTCTTATTAGCTATGATCTTAATGTTGTTAAGTCCTTCTGAGTCTTCTTCCTTCTCTGCAAAATGGAGCTATTAATTTCTGCCCTATCTACCTCAATTGGTTGATCTCAGAAACAAGTGAGGTATAGTAGGCACACAAAAATCTTTTGTAAAACATAATATTTTATACTGTAACTTGTCAAACTGTGGCCCACAGGCCAATTCCATCCCACTGCATTTTTGTATGGCCTACCTGCCTAAGAACAGTTTTTACATGTTTAAATGGTTGAGAAGAAGAATATTTAATAATGTAAAAATTATATGAAATTCAAATTCCACTGGGTGCGGTGGCTCACGACTGCAATCCCAGCACTTGGGAAGCGGAGGCAAGACCTCATCTCTACAGTAAATCAAAAAATTAGCCGGGCATTGCGGCACAAGCCTGTAGTTCCAGCTACTTGGAAAGCTGAGGTGGAAGAAGAGCCTGAGTCCAGCAGGTCAAGGCTGCGGTGGCCGTGAGCGTGCCACTGCCCTCCAGCCTGGGTGACAGAGTGAGAATCTGACTTCAAAAAAAAAAAAAGAAATTCAAATTCCAGTGTCCAGATGAATAAGTATAAGTGCTCGTTTGCTTACATATTCTCTATGGCTACTTTAACGCTATCAGTCAAAGTTGAGCCTGGCTCACAAAACCCCAGATATTTAAAATCTGCCCCTTTACAGAAAAAGTTTGCCAGAGGTTCTCCAGAGAAACAGAACCAACAAGTTATATATATCCTCTTATAGGATATAGATGAAGAATTAAAGGACACACACACACACACGCACACGCACACGCACACGTCTCATAGGATATATATGGAGATTTACCATAGAAATTGGTTTATGCTATTCAGAGGCCAAGAATTACACCATCTGTAAGCCGGAGTGCAAGGAAAACTGATGGTGTAAATCAGTTTAAGTTTAAATGCCCAAGAAACAGAGGTGCGATGTCCAAGGGCAGGAGAAGACGATGTTCTAGTTCATCCTTCCTCTACATTTTCATTCTACTCAGGCCCTCAATGAATTGGCCAAAGCCCACCCAATTGGCGAGGATATATCGTCTTTAGTCTAATATCCAAATGTTCATCCCTTTCAAGGATTGTTCAGTGGGCTCATGAACAAATGTCACTGGCCAGGATGGCAGGGCCAGAAGCATTCACAGGTTTAGCATCATGGACATCACATCCGTCCTTGGGAAGGGGATGTTATTGCCATGGGTTATTGGCACTTCTGGTGCCCAGTGTATTCTCAGTGGTAACTCATCCTGGGGTTGAATATGGTACCAGAGTCTCCAGGAGCCCAGCCAACCCCTGGCAGTACCAGACTCTTACCTACAAGCGGGAAAACAGAAGTCTGTCCTCCTGGAATAGACCTACATTCTGGGCTCAGAGTTGTTTTCCCTGCCCACAATGCTTCTGCCCCTCATTATCTGTAGAAGTAATGGGTGCCTAGGGCTCTGGCAATGTGTTCCCCTCATGGTACCAAGAAGGCTGCCACAGAGACAGGAGTGAGCGAGTACCAGGGAATCGATCTCTGTAACTGGCCCCAGCAATTTCTAGACCAGCAGTTCCTTGTGGCAGCAATTCTTTTTTTTTTTTTTTTGAGTTGGAGTCTCACTCTGTCGCCCAGACTG